TTTTGTTTTCCCTGCCTCCAACCTGATTTCAGAAGAAGCTGAGTCCCGCTGTGAGGGTGGGTCCAGTAGGTGCCACACTGCCAGCCCCGGGTTCTGCATGAGCCAGTCACCTGTGCCTCTGGTTCCATGTATGTCCGGCAACGAAATTCCTGGTAAGTCTGGTCAGTCCAGGTGCTGGGCTGTGGTTTGAGAAAGGTCCTCTAGGGCTCACATTCCAGGAAGGCTGTCGTGGGGACCAGGCTCAAGCCTAGGGTACGGAGGCTAGGCAGTCCAGGATTACTTTGGGGGAGTGTTGAAGGAGCTCCATAGCTTAGTCCCAGGGTGAAGGTGGTGTGCCACTGCTTGCAATGCCATCTGTGAGTGGTGAGTATGGTCGTGCACGGTGTGGGCCTTGAGACTCCCATGTTGCAGGTAGAGTACATGTGCTCAGGCGCCATGCGTGCCTCATAGGGGATGGGAGAGGGGTATATTGCTAAGCTTTGGCTCCCTCCAGTGGGGACCTGGATAACACCCCCAGCCCATGGTGGGGGGACCGGGGCCAGCGAGACGTGTGATAGGACTTGGTATGGCAGCTAGGCTTGCGAGCAGGTCAGCGGTTGTCTGCCCCGTGTCTCACCTAAGTAGGCCGCAGGCTCAGAAGTTTTGTACCGCAGGGGCCCCAAAACTCCCGATCTCGTAGTCCGTGGTAGCGCCCCCAACTCCTGTGCACAGTAGTGGACTTCTCCTCACGATTATCTTCAGTGAGTTCATTATTTCTTCCGTTTTAAGTAGGATTCAGCAGGAGCCTCAGTAGCATGCGACCGGTCAGCATGGTGGTCAGGCCCCGCCCCTCAGGCCATCTCACTTTTGATTACTGTTAGTAATACTAAGTTTTACGGTCATGTGCAGAGATCTCCTTTTATTTTCTACCAGTTTGTCTAAATATGTACAGCAAGCATGTCAAACATGCGGCCCGCCCGCCCTGGGGTTGCTTTCAGCTGTTGCTGCAACCAGCAAGATAGGAAAAGTATTTCCTGATTCTTGCTCTCCTTGCCACAAGAGGGCAGAGTGGCTGTGTGTCTGCAGAGCAGACTAGAACAGCCACTGCCCCTTCCCTCCTGCTCCCAGTGCTAGAGGAGTGTCTGGCCTGCTTCAGCAGGGATGGAGCTGGAACCGGAGGATGGACAACAAATTGTAAGGTAGGAGAAGAGGGGCTTGGGGGAGGGGGTCCAGTATATTAATTTGATGGAGGGAGGGAGGGGTCCAGTGTACACTTAGGGGGGCAGTATATTAGAGTGGTGGGAGGGCGGGGGGGAGGGGCAGTGTATTTAAGAGAAGGAAGGGACAGTGTATTAACATGGGGGAGGGAGGGGCCAGTGTATTAAATTGGGGGAGTGGGGCAGGATATTAATGGGAGGGAAGGGGCACTGTATTAATGTGGGGAAGTCAGGGGGCCAGTGTATTAAATTGGGAAGGGGGCAGTGTATTAAAGTGGAGTAGGGGCAGTCTATTCAGTTAGAGTGGAGGGAGGAGGGGCAGTGTATTAGATTGGGTGGAGGGAGGGGGGGGCAGTGCATTAGACTGGGTCTTCATGGAGGAGCTGATTGGCCGCGCAGCATTTTGCCACACATGCACATTCGCCTCCCAATGCTTTCCTCATGGAAAGCATTGGATTGGCTGAGATCATCAAGTTTGATGAGTTCAGCCAAAGTGAAGAAATCATTCATAGAACTTCAAAATAAACAAGATAACGTAATTTGTTTTTTACAGCTGTGCAACCGCATACATTCACCATTTCAGTCTCATTACCAAACATTTCTTAATATGTCAAGGTAGTTGGACTGAAACGTTGGTTATATGCACATGCACGTCATCTTAAAATAAATGTGCTCTTTTGTTTACTTTGAAGCCCTTTAAGCGTGAGGACGTCCAGTGTCAGGCAACTTTTTTTATACTGTGCTTTTCGAAATAAACCTACATTTCTATGAAAACTGAAGTTTTGGGGTTTTTTTGCGGCCCAAATAAACTTAAATCTGGTTTATTTGGCCCGTCTTAGCCTTTGAGTTTGACATGCTTGATGTACCGCATTGACTTCACTTACCTACCTTTTGTAAAGAGCTGCAGAAAATATTGGCACTTTATAACCAAATGTAATAATTGTTTCATACAGCCTGCATTTCACGCTGTGATGCACTATAAATAAAACTGATAAAATTCAGAAATTTAAATTAAGCAAATTAAATTAAATTTTTTTTATCAACGCAAACCTGCAGTAATTACCGGCAAACACATTTCTAAAACTGAAAATGTAATAAAATGCCAATGGTTGTACTAATTTCATTATTGTTGTCAACTGACTCACTTTAAGAATGTCTGCCAGTTCTGGTTAGCCTTTTTTTTTAAATGTTTTTATTTATTTTTTTAAAACTTTCGCTGGTTTATATTCCAGGGCCTGCTCATGTTACTTCAGAACTTGCCTACAATCCATTGGGGCAATGAAGAAATTGGTCTACTTTTGGCAGAAGCATATAGACTGAAATATATGTTTGCGGACGCTCCAAATCATTACCGACGGTAGATGCCACTCACCGTGCTGCTTATACGCCAGTTATTGCTCTTCTCATCACTTACATTTGGACACACTCCATGTGTTTTATGCCAGTATCATCAAAATATCTTTGCATTTGAAGAAACTCTATACTATTTTAATCCTTTGCAATATTGTTTTACCTACACTTCCAAATTAATACTTGCCTGGTGAAATGAACTTCCCTACAGAAATTGTGTGTATATATTTGGTCCTTTGTGTATAAAAATTATGATGTACATTATTGGAATTTACTGCTCGTTAAATGTGAATGTTTATCCCTCACCTTGCAATGTGAGCATTCATGTTCTGCCAATTACTGATCAAATATGTATATATTTGTAAAATAACCACTTAAAAAGATTATTCAGTTTTGGGGGGGAGGGGGGTGGAATCCAGCTTGAAAACCTGTGAAAATTGTTTTACTCTGTCTAACTTGCTTTGAAGGGCTAACTTGCTCAGTCTAAACTGAAAACGTAAGTTTGCCATTAAATTACTCCAATATAAACTAGACTTGTATAGAAAATATTTGAAGTATTGAAAGTGTTTATATGTATGACATTTCGGTGCTTTTTTTTTGTGTGTGAAATTTTATCAGGCACAATCAAATAAAAAGAAAAAAGGTACGTTCATTTAAATAACACTTGTGTATACCAGACAGATTTTTTTTTTTATGTTTACTACAGTTGCCATAAGTTATAGTAATTTGTATTCTAGATGTGACAGAGATCTAGATAGGATAAGTTTGTCAGTCTGTAATAAGTAACATGACAAGTGTGGTATACAATGGACTCTGACTCGATAACATTTTTGCCAAATATAATACTTCCAGGGTTATTCATTTAATCTGGGATTGACAAGTGAATTTCAGTTTTAAAGACATGTTTAGCCATATGGGTTAAAATATATACACATCTTCTAAACATTTGACATTTCCTGTTTAGTTCTTAGTATAGTGGATAACTTACTTATTTACAACTAATTTTAGTTAAGATGTGCATTTGTGAGCTCCCAGAGTAAGTGGAAAATATCAGAAATAAATAGAAGTGCTCTTTTTTAAATCACAATTCCATTCATCTATACAATGTAACTGTAATACATATTAAAACATGTTTGGGTAACCCTATCTATATACCTAAGCATCTGGTGTACTGTATTTTTAAACTAATAACTGTCAGTTAGTGAGGAAATAAATAAGAATCAGGCTTTCAACAAATACAATAGGTATTCCAAAATTGGAAGTTCTATCATACAGGTGTGGCAATTTTAAAAGGGACATAATCTAATGGTACATTGCTTTTAACACCCCCTCAACCTCAAGCATATATTTACACACCCACAGTAATATTTTTCTTATGACAACATCTTGTATACATGGGTCCTGCTTGTGACCAAAAATGAAAGGAGTTGAAAACAAATGCTACTTATCGTTTTAAAGCACCGTGGGCTATGTTGGTGCTATATGAATGCAATATAAATAAGACAGTCTTAAAAACACGCCTCATTTGTATTGTGTATATATCACTCCCTCGTATACACATTTATCAAATTATAATTTTTATACAATGGAAAAGTAAGCGTTCAATAAACCTAGTTACAGTTTTAAGATGGTGGGCTTAAAGATTCCATGCCTGGAATTCAGTACCACCACTTACCAAGAAAGAATGCACCCCCTGTTCAAAGCATAAACTTAAACACAAATATGTTGTTTTGTTAAATAAAATAATGTATAACCAGTTTTTTGTCAGTATTTTTTTTTTAATATAATTTTGTATTTTTGGTCAAACCTATAGCACCAGGTAAATTGAAATATAAAAATACAAAATATAATGTAGAACATTTTTCAAAATAAGGACCATAACTGCCCTGTTTCAGAAAGTTCCCTGTAAGATTTGGCTAGTACATGTGATTGAGTCCATCACATAACATGTAGTCCTCTAAAGTTAACCTTCAAAGGAAGAATATAGGTGATCAAACCAAGATTTTCCAATAATATTTGGTATATTACTTGTTATGAATTTGTAAGCAAACACCAAATAATTGAACTAAAAAGTGGGATGGAGTAATATGTGCCATTTTGGCTAGTGGAGCAGGAACCCATACTTTGCTTTGAGTACCTGTGGATAGGCCTATTGCTTTTTGCAACCACAAATCTCATACTGAAAGGGTTGTTGGGTGTTAAGAACAATTACAACTAGTTAATTTCTAACTACTCTCATATTTAAACTAGTATAAGTTAGTGTTGACATTTATATACCAAGTCCTTAAATCGAGGTGTACATTCCAAAGGACCTAGCCACAAATTTGCTATCTTTTCACCAGACTGGGGATAATTTAGGGACAGTATCCCCAAGAGTGACTGAAAGTTCCCTTGTTTCTGCATTCCAACAGAATGTAAAGGCTTTTACCCATAACTATCAAAATTAATATGTTGGCATACGATATGGTAAATTGCCCTTGTTGTGTTGGTGCAGTTATGCAAGCCTTTTCAGTCTAGTTTAGCCCAGAGTCTTTGATTTTTCATAATGCTGCAAAGATTCGAAAATGCACAAGTCCTAAAAAGGGACAAAGGAGGGTAAGGGTTTTCAGAGTGTGAAGAAAGTCACATTTTGAAATAGCTCATGTAGTCTTAAACATTCGGCACCCATTGATCACAGAGAAATTTCAAATGTCATTCTTGTAGGAAATGCTCTGCTGCAAAGGTATGGAGTTAGTGGCTCGAGTTTGACGTAAGGTTGAATTTATGTCCCAGTTTACCATGGAAAGAGAATCTGCAAAAGGTCTGGAGATGTGAGTAAGGTTTGTGGGCCTTGGAAATTTTGATGTGTTGAAGGATGGAAATAATGCAAGAAATTGGGTGACTCTTGCCCTCTCGATCTGTATTTAAACATAAATTGCCATACATACTTTTGATAATTTTCCATGTCAGATTAATTGATTTATGTGTTGCTGTAGCTTAAGAAAGTCTGGAGAATGCAGAGGAAGGGGAGGATGGATTGAATGGATATATGGGGTTATCCACAACACATGCAGGTCCCACATGCAATTTAGATCAGTGAAAGCTTTGTTCAGGATTGTTTTATAGTTTAGGAGTAACATCATGAAAAGTCACCTGAGACTTAAATTACCCAGGAATGGGATGTAGTAAACAGTTACATTTAAAAAAAAAATTAAAAAGACTGTGGGACTTATTGTCAATACTTCTGATGTAGTAAATTAAAATGAATCTTGTAGGGGGCGTGGCCTAGCAGCCGACGGAGATGGCTTAACAAGGGAGCTCCCGCGCATCCACACTTAATCAAGCCTCTGCAATCCGCATCGCAACCGCACACAGACACCTACATGCCCCACAAGGGTCCTAGTGCCACCCCACGCAGGAAAAAATGAGGGGAACCGCTCGATTCCTCCCCTACTGTGGCAGACATGTTCGCGGCCTCCAAAGCCACACAGGCCGCACAACATGGCTGCCGGACGGGCACACGAGGCTCCCACTCCCCACCTGCAGACACAGACAGGGGACAGCCCGGACAGACTGGCGACACGACCGCGCAAATCCTCCAGCAGTTAGCAGAGGTGAGAACGTTTCTGGCGGGGGAGATCACACGCAGCGCCCTAGACATTAAGGCAGAGATCCAGGCCCTGGGCACCCGCACGGCAGAACTAGAACAGCGCATGGAAACACTAGTAAAAGGCCACAACTCAGTGATACATCACTCCACATCCCTGAATCAGCACCTCAGTGAATTAGAAATGCAGATGGAGGACCTCTCCAACCGCACCAGGCGAAACAACCTCCGAGTCAGGGGGTGGCCGGAAGCAATACAGGAAGGCCCCCTGGCACCCATTATGGAGGCATACTTCAGCAACCTACTACCAGACATACCCAAGGCTCAGTCGGCGATGGACTGGGCACACAGGGCTCTGTGTGCCCGGCGCCCGAACACAGATGCGCCACGAGACATAATAATATGCTTCCATTACTTTGCAACTAAGGAGGCTCTAATGAGACACAATAGACACCACGAATTCACCTACAAGGGCAAATCCATATCCCTATTCCAGGATTTGGCCCGAGCACATTGCAAAGAAGGAGGGAGTGGAGGCCATTGACGGATATACTACGGCAGCATGAAATCAGCTTCACCTGGGGCCACCCTTTTAAAATTGTAGCCTTCAAAGCGGGGAAGACAATCGCCTACTCACCGGGAGGAGACCCAAGAAAATTCCTCCGGGATCTGGACATCACACCGCCGCGAGACTTCGCTCTACCGGGACCGGCTCGACCGGCTCTCACACCCCTCCCAAGGGACTGGTACACGGTCACAGCACAAGCGGACAGAGAGACCTGAAACCTGCAGCTGGACCAAACGGCCATGAGGTTCAAGGCAGCAAGCCCCACACGCTGGATAGATAAGTTCAACCGAAGGATGACCCCACGACATCTCACACCATACTTTTTTACCGGACCTTTTTTTTTTTTTGCCCCAAAGTCATGGGCTGGGCCCTGAGGGACCCAACGCACAGAGACCGCTACCACTTAAGCAGACATACCATGATATGCCAAATCGTAACCTGCTCTGCTTTTATTGGCGCAGCCTTTGCTTTTTTATATGCCTGTTACATGCTATGTACCTAAAGCAGGAGATGTCAGGGGCATGTTGTTGGGGGGAAGAGGGGGGGTAGTACTGGCTGACACACTGTAAAGTACATGAACTGCTCGACAGCACGATGCCAAAGATGCAAGATAGACCCTGGGGGACTAAAACACACAGTGTCCGCACACACTGAGGGAGACGCACCATGATATACCAAACTATACTCTCTTCCGCAATTATTCGCTTTATCTTGGCTCGACTGTGCAACCAACACTAGATATGTCACTAGAGGGTAATTATGGGGGGGGGGCGGGGGAACAGGGCAGGCTGACATACTGCAAAACGCATGACAACCTAGACAACACGGTACCAGAGACGCCGAGGGGGCCAAACGCACGGAGACCGCATGCGCTGAGGGAGACGCATAGATCGTAACCCTACGCAGATAATACAAATCAGACGCAAGACAGGCCCACATGCTTGAGACGAAGTACAGGGGGAGGGAAACACCCTCCGAACGCACTCACCCCATATCATACCTCCTTCGGGAACGGTACCCCAGACGGTAACACCAAAGACAAAATGGCACCCACGTACAACTGACGAGGAACCTTAGCTCAGACCCATCACAGCTGCTGGTAGCATTGTGGGGGCCATACGTAACTCCCCCACGTTCCACTGACGAATTCACAACTCGGACAAAACGGGAGACCACACCATTGCGAACACCCAGTACCACATGAAGCTATAGAAACCCAGTGCAGACAATGCAGCGGGTACTAAAACCCTCGGTACCATCGGAGTACCCTAGACCAAGGGCCATAGCTCAAAGCTGGTTGCCAACCACAACACAGTGGACAGACGCGGGGCACTCACCAACTCCGAGAGGTGACAATCCACACATCACTCGGAGGGGGTGAGCACCCCCACTCTAATCTGGCACAGGTTAAGACCAGATGGTTATCAACTGTTTATTTTCCACGTATATATGAATGTTTATTGATAATGTTTTTTGATACTCAACCTTTCTTTCTTTCTCTTACACTATCTTTTAAGACAAGTACTAATCTTCAAAACAACCTCCCTGCCTGGATGCTGCCCGCGCCGCCGGGAACGGGTCCCACAACCCATCACAAACACACTGCCCTCCGCGGTTCCCGGAAGACGGGAGACCATGCCACACTCATTGCACCGATTGCGCCTCCACATGGCTCTTAAGGTACTATCATTCAACGTCAAGGGCCTCAACTCGCCCAACAAACGTCGATTACTGGTAAGAGACCTAAAGACCAAGAAAGTAGACATTGCACTAATACAGGAGACACACCTACCCAGGTCGGCAACCACCAAACTAACGGACAGAACCTACACGACCGTTTACGAGGCACGCTCACAATTTAAGCGAGCAGGGGTGGCAATACTCCAGCGCAGGAGTTGTCCACTGCACGTCACGACCATCCAAACTGACCCAGAGGGGAGATTTATATACATAGGGGGCACCCTCTACACCACCAAAGTGCATATCGTTAACGTGTATGCCCCCAATGAGCCAGACCAGATGTTCTGGACGAACCTGGAGATGTTGGTGGCTGGGGCGGGGGAGGGGGGGGTCCTTCTTGTTGGAGGTGACTTCAATGCAGTGCCAAGTCCGGCAGCCGACAGAAGCTCAAAACCAGTCACAGTGCGATCGCAGGGCAGAGGGAGCCAAGACAAGCAACTACACACATTCCTGACACACACAGCCCTCCTAGACGCTTGGCGACTACAACACCCAACCACAACTGATTACACTTTTTACTCGGCACCACACAACACCTACTCCAGAATAGATAACCTGTTTCTCAATGGAGCAGGGATGGCCAAGGTCCTCCACACAGACATTAACAATATCACATGGTCAGACCACACAGACATAACACTCACACTAGGCAACCTATGCTACAAATCCAATTGGTCATGGAGGCTTAATACTAGCCTCTTAAGGGACGACATAACACAAGCCACAATCCGAAAAGCCATCACAGAATACTTTGAGATAAACGCAACACCCGAAGCTAGCCCTACCGCGATCTGGGCAGCACATAAAGCAGTCCTACGCGGTCACTTTATTAAACTAGCCACCCAGAAAAAACGAGCTAAGACGAAACAGCTACTCGACCTACAGTCTGCCCTACGTAAAAAAGAGCAACAACCCAAACGAATCCGACAGACTCGAATCTTAGGGAACTCAATAGCCTCAGACACTCTATCAGGGATCTCGCCCTGGAGGCGGTATCACGTTCCATACTATGGTCCAAACAACTGTTCTACGAGAAGGCAAATAAGACGGACACACTCTTGGCTAGGGCGCTCCGCCCGAGAGCGCAAGGCAAAACCATAACAAAAATACGCACAACAGAAAACACACTAGCCGAGACGCCTGACACGATCAACGAAGTGTTTACCTCTTACTTCTCAGATATATACAATCACTCCCCCCACCTCCGGGCCACCAACGCGACATATATCTCAGACATACACCAATTCCTCTCCGAACTCACTATTCAAAAAGTGAACGGGGCGGAAGCGGACGCACTGCAAGAACCAATTACACAACTCAAGGTAGAGGCAGCCATAGCATCTCTGAAAGGCAATAAGGCACCAGGACCAGATGGCTATGACATTAGTTATTACAAACAATTTAAAGACGTATTAGCCCCCCCACTAACGTCCCTTAGCAACCATTTTCTGCAGGGCGGGACGCCTGATGGCGACATGGCAACGGCAAATGTTGTCCTCCTGCCAAAGCCAGGGAAAGACGACACATTGGCCTCGAGCTACAGGCCAATCTCACTTATTAACACTGACCTCAAAATATTCGCTAAAATCTTGGCGTCCAGACTCACCCTCCTACTTGATCCACCCAGATCAGGTGGGCTTTATGCCAGGCCACCAATTGTATGAAAACACGCGACGAGGGGTCAGCACAATCTGGCACATGGGGGAATCCAAGGCGCCTTCTATGGCACTCTCACTGGACGCGGAGAAGGCGTTTGATAGGGTGCTGTGGCCTTATTTATTCGAGCTTCTCCGATTCCAAGGGTTCCCAGAGACATTTGTAACAGCCATACAAGCATTATACACCGATCTGAGGGCACAAATACTCATCACAAGGGCACAAAAAACGCCCTTCACCCTGGGAAACGGCACCAGACAGGGTTGCCCATTATCCCCCCTGCTCTTCGCCTTAACCTTAGATCCACTGCTACATGCCCTCAGGCAGCACCCGCACATCAAGGGCGTCACGATAGAGGGAACACCATTCACAGTCTCGGCATATGCCGATGATGTCATGCTGACACTCTGGGAGCCGAGACACTCTCTCCACCATCTATCGCTCGTACTGGAGCGATTTGGCAATATAGCAGGGTACAAAATTAACTACTCCAAATCCGTGGCAATGCCTTTCCACCTGGAGCCCCCGGAACTAACCCACATACGCGACACGTATCACTTTAAGATAACCACCGACGAACTCCTGTATCTAGGGGTACGGCTAACAGCGAACACATCCTCCCTATTTGCCCGTAACTATACACCCCTGTTCCGAACCCTTCTTGCGGAACTAGAGCAGTGGACGGACAGGCCCATTTCCTGGATGGGGAGAGTAAACTCTATAAAAATGAATGTGCTACCGAGTATACTGTTCCTCTTTCAAGCCCTCCCGATAAGAGTAACACGGAGGGACCTGACAGGCATACAAAGAGCGATAGATGCCTTCATCTGGCACAACAAACGCCCAAGAATAGCGCGCACCCTCATGTACAGACCGAAACCCGGGGGGGGGCTGGGACTGCCAAATGTATACACCTATTATCTAGCTGCACAGCTGACACAGGTGATACAGTGGCACACGCCTCCAGACAGGAGACGATGGGTAGATCTAGAGTCGCTGATGATGGGTCAGGATCTCCCACAATTTTTCATATGGGCACCCAGAACGCAAAGAGCCATATTAAGAACAGCAAATCCAGCCATACTCAACTCCATACAGATACGGGACCAAACCAAAACGAAGTACGCCCTCAGCTCCCATCCGTCCCCCATGACACCAGTTTTCAGGAATAGGGCCTTCCCCCCCGGAATGCAGGCGAGAGACTATAAGGGGATAGAGGCTACGGGGCTCCAAAGATACGTACACCTATATGTGAACCAAAACGTAGTCACATACGAACACCTAACCACCAAAGCCACCTTATGAACAAGAGATTACTTTAGATACATGCAGATCCGTGACTTTGCACAAAACCCTGAAATACGGAAGGCGGCCCTGACACCACTAACCTTCTTCGAAAAACTATGTTACAATGAGACAACACAAACTAAACTCATCACACTACTGTACAACCACCTCAACGGGACTCCGAACAGGGAGGGCGCACTACGATACACCGACCAGTGGGAAGCCGACCTGGGGGAGGTACTAGAGGGAACGGAGTGGCAAGATATATGGGACGCATGCAGCAAAACCACAATATGTGTGACACTCCAAGAGCAATCTTATAAAACACTGACCCCAGTGAAGCAGAAACACATGGGACTAAGTCCCACAGACGACTGCTGGCATGGGTGTGGGGGGCGAGGCACATATATACATATGTGGTGGGACTGCCCGAAGGTCATAGAATACTGGCGCAACGTTGTGGAGCTCAGCTCCCAAATCCTACAAAAGCGACTGGGGTTAGACCCATGGGCATGCCTACTCTCAAGACCCACAAAGGACCTCCCCAGACACGAACAAAGACTCCTTAACATGCTCTATTTAGCAGCCCGAAGGTCCCACATATGTCCCTGGTTAAGACAAAAATGCGAGACAATTACATAATGGATAAATTGACCTCTCAGGTGCGAAACACTGTGACTAAGTTCCAAAAAGTCTGGGACCTATGGGAGCAGTACGATAGTTAGAATAACG